CCGTGTCGGGCCAGTAGACGTGGTAGTCCGCGCACTGGCAGTCCTGCTTGCCATCTACCATCACCGCCTGCGGGACACGGGGAACATGTCACGGGGAAGATGTCACTGGGAACATGTCACGGGGAAGATGTCACTGGGAACATGTCACGGGGAAGATGTCACTGGGAACATGTCACGGGGAAGATGTCACGGGGAAGATGTCACGGGGAAGATGTCACGGGTACCAGGTTGGGTGTAGGGTAGGTCAAGGGGACCAGGTTGGGTAGGGTAGGTCACGGGGACCAGGTTGGGTAGGGTAGGTCACGGGGACCAGGTTGGGTAGGGTAGGTCACGGGGACCAGGTTGGGTAGGGTAGGTCACGGGCACCAGGTTGGGTAGGGTAGGTCACGGGCACCAGGTTGGGTAGGGTAGGTCACGGGCACCAGGTTGGGTAGGGTAGGTCACGGGCACCAGGTTGGGTAGGGTAGGTCACGGGCACCAGGTNTCAGCGTGCCCAAATGAGGGCTAATATACGGAACACGTCCAACGTTACATCCGACGACGACTCGGAGACGAAGGACGACGAAGGCGGCGCATCAGCGTGACCGTGGACTGCGACGTCCTAAACTCATCATAAGGTCATAAGGTAAGGTTAAAGACCATGGTTCTCACCTTGAAGCAGGAAGTCCTTAACCTATACTTTGAACATTAGCCTTGAAAGCCTTAGTTCTCACATTGAAGCAGGAATTCCTTAACCTTAACTTTGAACATTTATCCTTGAAGGCCTTAGTTCTCACCTTGAAGCAGGAAGTCCTTAACCTATACTTTGAACATTTAGCCTTGAAGCCCTTAGTTCTCACCTTGAAGCCTTGAGGGCAAGGTTTAAGAGAGCGTCGCCGTGAGGGCTCAGCAAAAGAGAACTCGAGCAGCAGCAACAGCAGTGGCAGCAGTAGAGCAGCTTTTGTAGCCATCTATGAGGGAAACATGTGACAGTTAAGTACACAATAAAATAACTTTATTATTAAGTAATTGTCAATAAGAAGTGTAATTAGAGCTAATGTACTAATGTTGCAAATACAATGCGAGAAATATAATGTACAGTGTAATGTAGCTAATACAGTGCAATTACCTAAGGTACAGTGTAATGTAATGTAGCTAATATGTAGCAATTAGCTAATGTACAGTGTTATGTAATGTAGCTAATATGTAGCAATTAGCTAATGTACAGTGTAATGTACTGTAGCTAATACAGTGCAATTAGCTAATGTACAGTGTAATGTACTGTAGCTAATACAGTGCAATTAGCTAATGTACAGTGTAATGTAATGTAACTAATACAGGGCAATTACCTAATGTATAGTGTAATGTAATGTAACTAATACAGGGCAATTACCTAATGTACAGTGTAATGTAATGTAACTAATACAGGGCAATTACCTAATGTACAGTGTTATGTAATGTAACTAATACAGGGCAATTACCTAATGTACAGTGTAATGTAATGTAACTAATTCAGTGCAATTAGCTAATGTACTTTGATGTTAATAAAAAATGAAGATATACCCGATTGCGAATCAACGTCACGATTCATCAAAAAATTTTGGATAACTAAAAATAATAATACGGTATCCCAGCAGAAAAGTGATGTGATGGCACCAAGTTTGCAGACAAAAATATATTGGTCATTTTGTCCAAACAGCGACACACATTTTCAATTGTCATACATTTCTAATTGTCCAAACAGCGTCATACATTTTCAATTGTCATACATTTTTAATTGTCCAAACAGCGTCATACATTTTCAATTGTCATACATTTTTAATTGTCCAAACAGCGTCATACATTTTAATTTAATTTAATTTAATTAATTAATTTAATTTAATTCATACATTTTTAATCTGGGCACAAGCAGAGAATATAAGCGGCACTGATACGCCTGCTTTCCTGGCCAAAGTGCGTCAGGATGACCCACAATGAGGCACAAAGTGCATCGAGGTTTGGACAGTCTCACTCATTTATTTATCGGGATCACGAGCAATCGTTCACGCGTATCTTGATGATCGAATCACGTATGAATTTTGAGGCCGAACTATCATAAATATTTGAAAATACATTACGACATCAGCCAATCACTGACGACTTTCCAAAGTAAACCCACCAATCAGCGACGAGAAAGTGCCCGCTACGTGTACTTTGGCCGCTACGTGTACTTGGGCCGCTACGTGTACTTAGGCCGCTACGTGTACTTCGGCTGCTACGTGAACTTATGCCGCTACGTGTTCTTGAGCCGCTACGGGTACATAGGCCATCACGTGTACTTAGGCCGCTACGTGTACTTAGGCCACTACGTGTACTTAGGCCACTATTTGTACTTAGGACGCTGCGTGTACTTAGACCGCTATGTGTACTTAGGCCGCTACGTGTACTTAGGCCATTACGTGTACTTAGGCCGCTACGTGTACTTAGGCCGCTACGTGCACTTGGGCCGCTACTTGTACTTAGGTTGCTACGTGTACTTCGGCCGCTACGTGTACTTCGGCCGCTACGTGTACGTGTACTTAGGCCACTGCGTGTACTTAGGCCGCTACGTGCACCTAGGCCGCTATGTGTACTTATGCCGCTACGTGTACTTATTCCGCTACGTGTACTTATGCCGCTACGTGCACTTAGGTCGCTATGTGTATTTAAGTTAGTTTTGACAGTACCGCCTCCCGTCTCAGAAGAGAGGGCAACGAACTTTAACTTTCAGAGTCGGAGTTGGAAGGGCAAGAGGGGGGAGGGGTGGAAGGGGGGGAGGGGAGAGGGAAATAAAAAATAAATTGCAGCGCTGGAAATTATGACTGCCCTCACTCAAATAAATGAATGGGTCATGTCCAAACAGAGCGGGACACACTGAGCATGATGAGAGAGCGGATGTTACGCCCATTTATCAGGTTACACTGGGTCAAGATGGCCAACACACGGGCAAAAAATACATCGTTATTTGGACAAATCCCGCACATTTTTCCGAGTGTTGCTATTCAAGAGGTGCTTGTACAGCAGCGTAGAGAAATACCAAGAAATAAATTGTTGAAATGGCAATCATTTTCTAGGGCGATAACAAATAATTTCAATTGAATAATAGAGGGAGAAAATTTGCGTATTTTATTGAAGCTGAGACATATAATGAATATAATATGTCTCATGTAATGTCTCTCATATAACATGATAATGTCGCTGCGTCATACCATATAATAATTAAAAATTAACTTCAACAATTAATTGAATTATAACAACACGAGAGCAGTAAAATAGACTTCGTAACATGAGATAATGCATTATCTTGTTATGATGCCATTATCTGATTTAATCTTGTTAAATAATCTGATTTAATATACCAGTATTTAATGATAAACATTTGTCTGGAATTGGAATGATTTGTGTCTGNTCTTTCAGAGACCTGATGGAATGAATGAAAGAAGAGACTGAGATAACTCATGCACCTGGAAACGAAGATAGCATAAACTGAACCCACCGTAACCACAAGAATATCTCATTCATTCATAAAATAACCTATTCGACACTATATAGTGACTTCCAAGCTTCCAAGACTAGTTGAGTTTGAATGAATTATAAATGAGGAAATTTGGACGTCATTTTTCTAAAATGACTCCAAATGGCCGTAATTTTTCTAATTTAATTTATTTACTTGCTAAAAGAAGCTCTCAAAAATTATTCTAAAAAAGACTATTGCAACATTCGTGTGCTGAAACGTACACAGGTAATGATGTCAGTACCAGCTTCAGGGTATTGTACAGAATGAAATTAAGCAGCGTTAATTACAGTAGAAGGTCATAGTTATGAGGAAGATATCGCTACGGCAACTCGGAAGGCTGCATAATTGTCGACAATTTCTCTTTCACGGTACACACTCGTTTCCACTATCATGAAAACAATGACTATCATGAAAACAATGACTATCATGAAAACAATGACTCGTAATATCGCTCAATTGCTAAACGTAATTTACAAAACACAAAACGGAGTCTACTATTGACTTTCATTTTCGATGACCCTGAATATGCATTTTTTGCCATTTCGACTGCATTTAGTAGAAATGTTTCGAAATTATTAAAAAAAGAACGCAGATTCTCTTTAAAATAGCCCATTTTTTGTCCATTAGTGGATGAAGTAATTCTAGTATCGGTTAGTTAGAAATTAGATCAATATAGAATAACATTAATAAATGATCAAGAGACAGTATTTTACTGTTAAGCAAAAAGGTGCATGGCGCTTTCACTTCTGATTCATTGTGATGACGTCACTGTAAATTTTTGGCCTAGCAGAAACCTCAATTAGCACAAGTTTAAATTATCTATGAAAATACGCTTTCATCTGTAATTAGACGAAATTAGAATCTTAATTACCACGAGAGTGGGCATGTAGCTTTATTACCTTCCAATCGATATAATGTTCTGCGTCATTAGCAGGTTCTCTAAATAAACAATAAACGCAGCTTCTGTAATAAAATAACAACGATTTAATTTAATAATTATAATAATTAATAGTTGATTTAATTAAAATAACAGCTTCAACGCCCCGGGGATGAAAGCAATGAAATTTAGATGGTTCTCGCCATGACAGTTACTGTCAACTTTTCACAAAAAACTGCAATATTTACCCTAAAACACTGAACTTTCTATCTAAACGAAATTAATTTTACATCGCAAAAAACTACAATTTTTACCCATAACAGCGACATTTTCTCATAAAAGAAATTAATTTTATATCGCAAAAAACTAAAATTTTTACCCTAAATCAGTGACACTTTCTCCTAATAAAATTAATTTTACGTCGCAAAAAAACTACAATTTTTACCCTAAAAACGTGAACTTTCTACCGTGAAAGGAGAGAGTTAAGGTCGATTTCAGCGCAAAAGCAACGCAACTGCAATTTCCATCTTAGAGGATTGACCATTCCACCCTGAAATTAAAAATCTCATCCCATTGCTAGCAATCGTTTTGCCCTAAAAAACAAATGTCGTTTTAAACATGCAAATAAAATAACTCATTTAAAATGGCGTGGCAATAAAAAAATTCTAGGAAATCAATATTTTTTTTACTTTTTTTTGTTTTTTTTTAATTGTTCTCTAACAGTATGAACAAATTTTATTGAGAGAACGGATTTAATTTTCCTCTGAAAAAATGTATAAGCGCAGTAAAAATCAGTGAACTCGTAATCGTGGAAACTAGTCTTCAAATTACAAAGTTTAGTTCTACTCTCGCCGTAAATAATATTTTTAATTCTAGATAATAATAATTATAAGATATTAAGATAATAATTATTAATTATAATAATAAATGTTAAAAATAATTCTAGATATCAAAAAATAATTTCGTAAGTGGCACAAATTTCGTAATCATCGAAGTACGTGCCAAGGTTTCTTTTTATTTCCATTGATCATGAATGAAAGGCGGAGCATTTCTGTTATGATTCACGGCACGTTCACCGCACTTAAAATTCGTTCCACGAGAAGCTGTTGGTCGGTCAAAAGCCACTCCGGAACTCTGATCCAAAACTATGAGCTGACACGTAACACTTGACCTCGTATCAACGTAATCCTTATTGGAGATCAGAGCTTATACTTTGAAAAAAAGTTAAGAGTTAAGAGAGATTAAGTTCATCAGCCAATCATTGACGGCCTTTCAAGCAAAATCCACCAATCATAGACAAGAAAATAGAGCGTAAGTACTTACGTTCAATTAGCGAGTTTTGAACGTATGGCCCCAGACACGTGTCTATAGGAGATTGGTCATGCTGCATGGGGACTCATAATGATCGTTATTGTAAGATCACATTTATAGGTGACAGTGCGTGGCCATCATCCATTATCATCGATTGATATAAAATTTAGTTCAAGATCATAGACTCATTCATAATTAAAATACGTACCGTCAAAGCAATCCCAATAATTGCGCACTGTCTGTAGTCTGATACAATATGTCTGTCTGATACCTCATATTTTTTATTCTCTGCACGCTTTGAACTAATTATTATGAAAGTAAAAACTACTTACTATGGGCTTCACAATCTTACTTATGACTCATGCAGTTTTAATATTCAATCATTGCCTTATTTCATACAACGCATGCAAATTAAATAAGATACATGGGATGCTTGCAACTCACCACAATAAATTCGTCGAGAAATCCTCAGGCTTCAAAATTATTCAAACCAGAATGTCGTATAATTATGTATGTAAAACATTATACGAATTTCATCAATAAATTCTTGAGATTCAATATCTTCAAGCCAGGATGATATTTAATCGTGCATGTAACACATTACACTAATTTTATGAAAAAGGTTGAGCTTTGAAATCCTTCAAGCCAGAACGTCATTTGATTACGGATTAAACACATCCCACTAAAGTTCTTGAGCTTTAAAATCCTTTTCCAGATCGTTGTTTAATTATGCATGTTAACCTTACACGGGTGCAGGTTAACCTTACACGGGTGCAGGTTAACCTTACACGGGTGCAGGTTAACCTTACACGGGTGCAGGTTAACCTTACACGGGTGCTGGTTAACCTTACACGGGTGCAGGTTAACCTTACACGGGTGCAGGTTAACCTTACACGGGTGCAGGTTAACCTTACACGGGTGCAGGTTAACCATACACGGGTGCAGGTTAATCTTAATCTTGATGCGAATGAAAGGGAATAAAAGCAATAATATGAAGTGAATAATAATAATAATAATTATCATTGAAATTAATTTTGGGTGAAATGTTATAAAAATTTTCTAATAAGTTCCTCACTCAACCAAGTACTGCATGCATTGTCTGCATCCTGAACAAAATATAATCGATTAAATCACTAAAATCTGAAAACCATGCAACGATAATAAAAAAATCTGTATGCAACATACAGTAAGTTACAATGTACAATATATGACATTTAAACTTTAAGTTTAAATGTCATATATTTAAACTTTTAATATATATTTAAACTTTAAGTTCTCTTTCCACAGGCTAAGTGAGATGAAGAAGAGAAGAATTAAATCACGAATATCTGAAAATCATACATCGAAAATAAAAAAAAAATAATAATCTATACGGTATGCAACATACAGTAAGTTACAATATATGACCTTTAAACTTTGTTTTCTCTTTCCACGAGAAAAGTGAGAAGAAGAAGAGAAGAAGAAGTCCTCTATAACCTTGCAGGCACTCAGTCTTGATTAGGAACAATTCTTAGAGTGTAAACATTGCGCATGACGAGCGGCAGTTGTTTTGGCGTTAGGAACAATTATTTGAGTGTAAACATTGCGCATGACGAGCGGCAGTTGTTTTGGCGTTAGCACGGACCTTAACAAAGCAAATGGCTGCTGCTACAGCCAGCTTCGAATTTTCCAGTCATTTGTCCTAAAGCCAAGCTTTGTCTTGCATCCTGTCAAGGTCAAGACAAGAAGGGCAAGCGGATCCAAATTTGACTTTGACTGGCTGTTTTCTTTCTCTGCAGTCACATTCAAACTGCAGTCACATTCAAACTGCAGTCACATTCAATACCTCGGTGACTTGCATGCAAGTCAAGTTCAACGTCGCCTTTCACTACCACGCAGTGCAATAAGAAACATCGTACATTTTTATTTCGCACCAAAATTGAAATAATATTTTCTGTTTACTTACCATATTATTTCTGAAAAATAATTAATAAATGGTCATTATATAAAATATATATATATAAAAAATGTAAAAATAAATGTATATAAATGTATATAAAAAATAAAATAAATGTATATAAATTGATATTAAAATTATGAAATGAATTCAACTGTCAGCCATTGACGATTTTCAGAGTTTATATTTTCGTACATGTTGTACTTCACCGTTCGTTCAAATTTATAATGAATTTACATTTGTATATTGTATATAATAACTATCAATTGGTAATTGTTTCATTATAAACTACATCGTTATTTAATTGTAATTACAAATCACTATTCTTACACGGTTTTAAAGTGGACCTCATTGCTGCACATAAAGATTTTAGAGAAACTTCAGTCATGTTCAAGCTGCATAATTCGCCTATTTATTAGTAATAGGAATCATATCGATATCCTATCTCAAAAATTCGTCAATATATTAATAAATGTAATCGTATCGATATCAAAGCTGAATAATTCGTCTCTATATTAATAAAAATAATCCTTCTAACGTTATCCAAGCTGAATAATTCCCCTATTTCTTATTAACGCACGCAGCAATGGAAATCCAATCAAATTGATTAAAATTTAATTAAACTATAAAAAATTAAATTATATAATGTTTAATTAAAATATTGGATATTATTTTAAATTCGAATGCATTGCAATGCACAATGCGCGCCTCTTGCAGAGGCGCGCGGTGAGGGCAATGAACTTTATGAATTAATTGATTAGAACGGCATTAAATACCTTTTTAAATGTGATCCTAATGATAATGCCTGATTATTGTCAATATTATTATCAATAAAAACATAATACATCTTGAATGCTGAAAATAATTACTTGGTATCAATAGAATTTTGATGGTAATACTGATTATTATAAATATTATTGTCAATAAAACATAATACATCTTGAATGCTGACAATAATTACCCGTCATAAATAGAATTTTGATGGTAATACCTGGTAATTGTCAATATTATTATCAATAAAAACATAATACAACTTGAATGCTGACAATAATTACTTGTTATCAATAGAATTTTTATGGTAATACTGATTATTATAAATATTATTGTCAACAAAAACATAATACGTCTTGAATGCCGAAAATAATTACCTGTTATCAATAGAATTTTGATGGTTATACTGATCATTGTCAATATTATTGTCAATGAAAACGTACTACAACTTGAATGTTGACAATTATATGTTGTTGATAACTTAACTGCCGATTTTACTAAGCAATTATTTCGACAATTCTGACTACGATAATGAATTATAACTCATATATCAACAGCATTATCTTCCTCCTCTAAAAATATCCTGAAAGCCATTCATAATACCGCAATATTACTTTGAAACAAACTAGGATAATTAATATATGCTTCCGTTCTGACTGCAATATCAAATTAATGTTTAATAATGCCTTCTGTAACTAACTATGATCAACATGCTCACGGCTATAGTTATAATTAACTTGGATGTAGACTTAGGTAATTAAGTTAGATATAAAGTGTAAACTTATATAATCCATTCTATGGCCTTTCTTACTACTGATAATGTTAATTTAATGTGACATGCTCAATGATTGCGATAACCTATTTTATAGCTTTAGTTCAATCCTATGCCACGATTGAAAACAAACCTTAAAAATTACTAACAAATTTAATATACGAATTAGGGTTTAACAGTACAAATATTGTTCAAATCGTACATCCATCAACTTAAGTTACAGTGGCAGGGAATAATAATTAAAATATGTGCAGTCAGTTACATCACACAGTCACTATTCACACAGACAGTTAACAGACACTCTCAACAGACACTGTCAACGGACAGTGTCAACAGTGTCAACAGACACTCTCAACAGACACTGTCAACGGACAGTGTCAACAGACACTGTCGACAGCCACTGTCAACAGACACTGTCAACACAGTCACACAGCAAGAAGAGCAGCAGACACTGTAGACAGACACTGTCAACAGACAGTCACACAGCAACAAGAGCAGCAAACACTGTAGACAGATACTGTCAACAGACACTGTAGACAGACACTGTAGACAGACACTGTAGACAGACACTGTAGACAGACGCTGTAGACAGACACTGTAGACAGACACTGTAGACAGACACTGTAGACAGACACTGTCAACAGACACTGTCAACAGACACTGTTAGACAGACACTGCAGACAGACACTGCAGACAGACACTGTAGACAGACACTGTAGACAGACACTGCAGACAGACTCTGTAGACAGACTGTCAACAGACAGTCACACAGCAACATGAGCAGCAAACACTGTAGACAGACACAATAGACAGACACTGTAGACAGACACTGCAGACAGACACTGTAGACAGGCGGGCGCGTTGCGTCATGTCCTTGACAGGAACTTTCTACCGTCATCTCCAACGAAGGCTTCTTGTGTCGTCGTCTTGTACTGTCTCGTCTGTGTCAAACTATAATATTCTTACACAATAATAATAATAATAATAATAACGTTAATTATGTGTTTATTAACCGCATGTAACATGGAGATATAATTTGTTATCATTCAAACATCATTATCTTATTAAGTTGAGTGAAAGATTAAGTTGAGTGAAAGAAATTACATTCATTCACAATGACGTTTCGAATTTTTTTGGTAGTGTCTCTCGTCGAAGTTTTTATGCAAGCAAAAAAACTCGTTCGTCAAAAACGAGAAAAAATTGCAAACTAATTAATTGCGTCTGAGCTAAAATTTAAGAAAAAATCTTACTCAAATTTACTTTTTTATATTCATCGTTTCGTATATTTTCCCTCTAGAATGTTCGTTATTTTTAATAGATATTTTTATAGTGCATAGGGCCTATCAGGACTTTCATTTTTTATAAATTTTTTTCATAAAATCTCAAAAATTTATATTTAGCTCCGCGAAAACATTATTTTCATTTACATTAATCAATTTTTTTGTGCAGGTTAAGCAAATAAAATTTTCCAACTTACGCAAAATACAAAACTGCTTCGTCGTATTTCTTCATTCAAATATAACTAAAATGAACCTTGTTGGCAAAATTAGATAGCGACGGTTGTACAGTGAATTTACTNAAATATCACTTAAATGAACCTTATTGGAAAAATTAGATAGCGACGGTTGTACAGTGAATTTACTACATGGTTGCAAACTGCTACTTTTTCCGTTTTTTTCACTCCATTATCATTACAATACAATTGCTTAATCAATTAGCTTTTCTCCGAGTTTTGTATTTCATGTCAATTTCGCTCAAACCTATAATCGAAAATATTTGAACTCCGCTACATAAGTCACATCTATAGCCACAACAGCTATAGAAGTATACCTGGTGTAGCTATAAAATGCTGTTGCAGTAGCAATAGACATACAGTTAGAGCAGCTATAAATTGCAGTTACTGTAGCTATAGACCTACAGCCACTGCAGCTATACAATTCAGTTGCAGTAGCTATAGACCTACAGCCTGAGCAGCTATAGAATTCTGTAGAAGTAGCTATAGACCTACAGCCACTGAAGCTATAAAATTCAGTTGCAGTAGCTATAGACCTACAGCCTGAGCAGCTATAGAATTCTGTAGAAGTAGCTATAGACCTACAGCCACTGCAGCTATAAAATTCAGTTGCAGCAGCTATAGACCTACAGCCACTGCA